GAAGATCAAAGGGAAATCTCCTAAATTGTCTTCTCCATGGGAAAGCCCATATGACATAGTGGATCATCTCTCAAACATGGTATTTCTGAATAAAATGTGGTCGGCGAGGTAAGCTAAATGTGGCGCATGCCAACAGGCTTTGGCGTTATGACAGTCTGGAATGAAGTGAACAAAAGAACAAATGACGCTGCTGAAAACGTGTCTCCTGAAAAAGCCACTGTCGAAGAAGGAACTCCTCCCTGTTTCGAGAAGGGAAACAGTGAAGCTCTTAATGAAGTTACTACCACTGATGTAACAGTTACCGATAATAGGATATTTCCTGATGGAGCAGATGAACGCCACGTGAAGCAGAAGCCAACGAGACGGAGACCAGTATGGAAGAAGATACGTCCTGTAAAATTAAAATACTTTGATGAATTTTAATTTTGTGTTTGTAAATTCTGTACATTTAATCAAGTTTTTGTTAATTATCCATTGGTTTAATGTAAGTAGCTATTGTTCAGGACAAACAATACTAAGGAAGCGGAAGTGTTTTGATAGCGGAAGTCACGTGACTCTTGTAACACGTCATGATATTCTCGAAGGATCTTGAATTGTCCTGGCAACTCTAGTCGGTTCCAGGTGCCCTCTTTTTTTAGTATATAAGTCCGGCAAATAAAGCGAGAGGAAGATCTGTATAGATAGAGAGATTGAAGATAGAGATAATCGAGTCAAGCCATAAGTAAAATGTGTGTGAATCCCTGTGAATTATAGCGTGTTTTTATAAAGGAGTTAAGTTAAAGTGACTGGGAAATTCTGTTTATTGCAAAGTTGTGTCGAGAATTTTAATTAAGAAAGGACTTGTATCGCTGAAGTTTCTCGGAAAGAATTTATACGGGAAATTAACAAACGACCAGATACGTATTATATTGTTGCGTCAGCGAGGTCACGTAACTAGTATCACGCCACCTGTTTCTAGAAATATCTGTTCCTTCAAGAATGCCCTAGCATTTACTAGATATGTGTTAGTCTTGTATATATAAGACGTTCACAACGTGACGGAACAACGAGGTAATGAGTAATTGAACTGCAGTCAGAGAGTATTGTTGAAGTTGAGCACGTGAGACGTTCGTTGTTATATCGCTTGTTATAGCGCGACTGTTGAAATTAAGTGTATCGTAAAGTTGTATTCGGAAAGAATAAACCAGTTTTATTAAGAAAGCACTTGTGTCGCTAAAGTTTCGTCGGAACGAAGTTACGGAAAATCAACTAACGAACGGAGACGTAACAAATTGATGTCAGAAAGTGGGATAAAAAACAACAACAAATGGAAACGAGAAGCGGCAAATCAAACTACAGCCTAGCAGACTTAATGGCAGCAATACAAGAACAGCAAAAGAAACAAGAAGAACGAGAAGAGAAATTACAACAGTTGTTATAAGAAAAAGAAAAGAAACAAGAAGAAAGATTACAGCAGTGGCAAGAAAACCTACAACAATGACAGCTCGAACAGCAAAATAAAGAAGAGAGACTACAGCAGTTGTTGGAGGAGAAAGAAAATAAACGAGAAGAGAAACTACAGCAGTGGCAACTAGAACAAGAAAGGAAACAGGAAGAAAGTATCCAACAGTTGCAGAAAAGTCAGCAGCAGCTACAGGAAAATCAACAACAATGGCAAGAAGTACAAATGGAAAACATTAGTAAATTTAAAAGCGAATTAGATACATTAAAGGACGATTTATTGTCTTTTACACAATAAGGATATATTAACCATCGACTTAACCAGCCCCAAACAATGACAAGCCCTTCCAGACCCCGCAGCTAAACCCTAATGCAGACATATTCAGTCCAGTTAGAAGCCATATCCCAGATTTGAATGTCAGTAATAGGAGTGATCCAGTGCGAAGGAAGCCACAGGAATTCGATGGGAAGGCACCGTGGGAAGCATATAGAGCAAAATTTGAGCTACTGGCAGAGATGAACGGATGGACAGAGGAGCAGAAAGCAGTATAGCTGGCAACGAGTTTGAAAGGACAACCACTGGAAATACTTGGACAGTTGTCAGAAGATGACAGGCACAACTATAGAACACTGGTAGCTGCTCTAGAACTCAGGTATGGAACCCAAAATCAGTTGGAAGTCTACAGGGCTAGGTTTAGGACGAGAGTCCGTGTTAAAGGGGAGAGCCTGCAAGAGCTAACACAGGACTTGGAAAGCATGGCACACAAGGCCTACCCAACTGCACCACCCGATCTCCTCAAGTTGTTGCTGAGGGATTAGTTCGTAGATGTCTTGGACAGTCCACAACTTAAGATACAAGTGAAGCAAGCAGACCCCTCTACCATGCAGGATGCAATGG